TTTTGAATATATGCTTGTATGCTAAATTGGTAATTTACTGCAATAGTTTTAAGTTTATTAAATAAGTTTGATATGTCGAACAAATTTCCATATTTGTTAAAGTATTTATACAAGTTACTGATATAACCGAATTAATTAAAAATAATTTAATCATGATTTTAGTACCACTAACTTACTTGTTGTGCATTGCTGCAAGTTGGTAATATAGCAGTATAACTTTTTGTTTAAATAATTGTTGTGTCTGTGAGTTTTTGCCTTAGGATTCATGAATTAGAAAACTATATCAAAAAATTTCCTAATCTTTATATTGTGACTTTCAATTAATTCTTTAAACTTAGTTGCATCCCAAACTGGTAAATTTTTTCACAAAAGTACTTGTATTAAATATTTGTAATTAACCCAATTTTATTTAAAAAGAATTCTGAAAATTCATTTAATTTGAGTGATACTATATTTAATGATAAATAAATAATATAATAATTAGATTAAACTAAATTAAATTTAAAAAAAAAAAAATACCTATTTTTTTCGCTTTCTCCATTTGATTTAATTGAAATTCTAAATCTTCTATATATTATATAAGTTCAGCATATATTTCTTGTAATAAAGAAACTTTTTTTTTATTTGAAACCTTTTTGATAATATGATAAATCTGCATTTTTTCTTTTTTTTTAAATTTAATTATTTCTCGATCATAAACAATCAAATTATTGTAATGTAATTAACATAATTGATCATTAAGGTTGAGATTTAATGTAAGTTCCTGGGCAACAGAACCTTTTAATGCTTTGGCTAGTAAGTTTTCGATTAATCTTCTAAAGGTTTCTTCAGAAGTTTTACAAGCAACATACAGCATAAGGACCATTATTCTGATGTGTTTTCCTCTTGTCATTGCTAATAGACCAAGTTTACATTAAAATAAGATCAGAGAAATCTATTTTCTGATCAGTATAGTAAAAATAATACTGAATTAGGGATAATGATTTATTGTAATCACAGAATTTCACAGAAATCACAAAATTTGATTCAAGTTCTTGGCCTAATTTAGGATTTGCTATCATTGTAATTCTGGTAAACACTAAATTTGAGCAAAATTTACGAGTTGTAATGTTGGCCAACCTTACTTAATTTCGGTCAAATTATAAAATTTCACAGAATTTACTTTATCATACACAAAATTTACTTTATATCACCACAAAAATTCATCGTTCCTGTAACAACAGGAGAGACTGTTCTCATAGCACAAAATTTTGATATTGTCACTTAGATCTGACTAATCAAAACACAAAATTTTGATGTTATCACATATTAAACAGTCAATAAATCATTAGTTACATGAATTTCTAAATTTAAAAAAGGTAATTTTTAATCCTTTTACAGTCAGAATTAATCAAATTAAATTAACTTCAAATGATTAACTTGATATATTATTGATTGACTTAAAGCATAAAAATTATTTTTAAGCATTTCATGATCATTTATATAGTTTATTTTATTTCAAATATTAATAAAGATAATTTTCAATATAAAAATAAAAAAATTTTATATAAAAATGGTGAATTCACAATTTTAAAAATGACTTTTTTGCAATTTCTAATAAATTATCTATTGTTGAATCGTCTGTTGCTACTTTTGCATCATTCAAATCATCCTTGCCTGCATCTTCTATATTCTTATCAATAGGTTCATTTTTAATTGAACTTTTCGTCATATTTGTTATCAATGCATTCACATTATTTTTGATTTCATTCTGAAGATAATCTAAACATATTAAACACTTAAATTAATATCTTTGAAGGCAATAGCTATGATAATCATACTTACAAGCTAAAACACTACTATCATTATAATTACTAGACTGATCACAATACACAAAATCACATAAACCAAATGTATTTGATTTTCTAGAAGTAACGAATCCTCTCAGAAGGTGTCGATCTATAATTTCGTAACCTAAAGAAGGAAGTTTATATGTACTAATATTATTGGGAGAAGATTTAAGAAGCAAAGGATCGTGGTTATGCATTTGATATATCTTCAAGAATACCTCCAAAATCCACATAGTACATTTTTGAGAAAGTGTGTGCAATTGCTTTGGTGTATATGGGTATTTTACAGAATTTACGAAATGTTGTTAAAATGAATTGTTATGTCATTGTTAAAAGATGAAGTGTGCTTCCTTTCGCAACTGTTGAACTGTATGAAATTTCACTGTACGTCTCTGAATAATGCTATGAGCAGTTTTTACAAGACTATCATTCAAAGAAGCAAGATGATTAGTAATGAAGTTAAATATCGGATAACAAGTTTTCATCTAATAAAAAACATCAGAAAAAAATATTAAAGGAGCCTGTTTGTAATTTCTTCAATCAAATTGAAGAAAAAGATCACTTTAACATTTTACACAAGTCTCTTCATATGCTGCCCAGTCATCTCCATGATGATGAATTGTGTAAACATTAAGAACAAGAGAAATTAATTAGAGAAGAGATCAGTTAAATACATATACTTGATGTTCTTGCATATATTGCTAAATTTTGAATAAACAGTATCAGCTATATCAACCCATGCTATACGAATAACATATAACATTAAATCAATTCTCTATGGCTGTAATTTTATACTAAGCTCCTTACGTCCTCTGATTATATATCTCATAAACAAACGCAAATTCTTCAAAAATACCAGTTCTCGAGCATTCAGAGATATGTGAAGAGGACCCATCATAGGAAGAAAGGACTTAACAAACTCTGGAATATTTCCATTTTTAATAAGAATTCGCTGTACAATAGCTTTACGAATGAAAAACTGATCAGACCAGTCTGCAACAACGGAAATTACATAATTGAATAGATAACTTTGCATTGGCTCTTAGTTGTATACAATTTGGAGTGCATTTATATACCCTTCTATACCCTTTAAACTGCTTTCAATAAAATCGAACAGGATAGAATCACGAATATAGTGATCGTTTTTTTCTCTGCAATCCTATCATTATAGCTATGTATTGTCATTTTATTTATCAACTCTTCATCAGAACATTCTTCTTTATAATGCCAGATGTATTCATAATACGAAACATCAAGATTTACAATAAACTGTCTATCGACATGTCTTGTAATTAATTCACTGTCCAAAAACTTTAGATTGAATGCCTCATTACGTGGTATTGCTGGTGTTATACATGGATTCACCAAAATTGTTGCCATATGTACTGCCTGAAAAGTTTCAGTAGTATTGGGCTGCCATTGAACATAAATATTATGGTAATCGTCGATATTTAGCATAAGAGCATTTCTTGAATATTGCCCAAGAGCGTTTTCTACATAATCATCATATGCATCAGATATTTGTTTTTTTTTACAATCGATTACTCTTGATGTCATAGTCACCCTAAGATTCGCCATGGTATTTAAGCCTTTGTTACTTGTTCCTAATAAATCTAGATAATATGCTAAATCAAACTTAAAAGAATTGATTTTAGTGTTGTTCAAAGAAGCAAGCAAATAGCAGATGAAAACCATTATCTTCTTCATATGATCTATTGTTTGATTATTATGTTCAGAAGGTCAAGCTGCTAAATAAAGTTGCTGTAAAAAGTTCTTCAAGGCAGGATCTCTCTCTTCCAATAATTTTCACATTGTATCAAATGCATAAATGGTTTCTTCTTTCTTCACATGCTCTCTTTCATAAAGAATTTTTGACATCCTCTTGATAGCTTCAGAAAGTTTAAGCATCGAACTAGATATACTTACCTCCTCTTCTGTAATCTTCGTTCACTTAATACCTCTTCTCAATAGATTTTTGACTAAACACATATAACAAGAATTACACAAAATAATACCTTCTGTTCACATTACCTTCGTCAGGTTGTTACTTTTAACTTCTTTTCATTTATTTCTATTTAATGGTTGAAATCTGATTGATTCTGTACCTTGACATTCGATACACCTTTTCTTCTCAAATATGTTGAATTCAAATGGATTCAAAGTATAATATTATTTTACAGTGCAGAAGCTTCAAAATTTGCTTAGCCATCCTATATGCTTTTCATAGTTAGTATAGGCTACACAAACCCTTTAAAAAAGTATTGTAAACATATAAATAATTCTTTAATGAATTGTGTAACATCTGTTCTAAAAATAGGTATAGTCCCTCCTGTTTCGTCCCTGTACTCGCAAAGTTTAATTTTTACTCAATAAAAATGATTCTTAACCATGCTAAAAATAGTATTGAATGTCGTGAACTGATTCGCGTCTTTTTTCATAAACTATGCTATAAGATTTTCTTTTTCATCATGCCCACTGCTACTTCTGAAAGTGTTAATTTTAATGAGAATCTTAGTGTTCTTATTTCATACTTACAGGAACGAAAAAACAAATCATATTGTAATTTTTTATTTTAAAATCAAGACACTATCATTACTTCGGCAATGTTATTCTTAGCAAACTGAGTAGATCTCGACAGTACTTAGAATCGTAAGTTTTTAAAGGAGGCAGAAAAATTGATCTAGGACCAAAGCGCATTAATTGATTTTAAAAAACAAGGTGCGTTTTTTATTTTATAGAAAGAGAGTAATTCCTAGTCGACCGCACCTTGATTTAGAAGAATTACTGAATATGACTGCTTAGTAATCACTTCAGGACCTCTATTTAGACACCCTATCTTTGTTATTAGTAAAGGTCTGTTTGCTCTGGAAGAGCTACCTTTCTTTATCACTAAACGAAAAAGTTATTGCACTGTTAACAATATTCAGTGAACTAGAGATTTAGAAAGTTATTGGAAAGGAGTGCTCCAAGAATGTAACTTAGTAAGTAAATTAATGTAATGCAATTCCATTTATATAATTTTACATTTCATTAACAACATATATTATTTCAGAGACGAAAGATTTCTACACTTTAAGAAGAAAAGGAGCATTACTTCCAAATAATTTCTGAACTAGATAAAGAGATAAAAATAAAAATACCAGAATTGCAGAATTCATGAATAGATGCAATATGGAGAAGAGTTCACTCAATGATAAGTTTAAATTGGTTCTACCTCCCGATTTGTTAAAATCAAGAGATTTTAATTTAAGTTTTGACAAAGGTGAAGCTTCAGGATCAAGATATTTTGACAAAGAAGGTAAAGAAGATAATGAGTTAATGTTTACAGTTCTGGCGAGAGTGAAGCTTCGAAATCAAGAGATTTTGACAAGGAAGGTAGAGAAGATAGCGATTTAAATTTTTACGAAGGTAGAGAAGATAGCAGTTTAAGTCTTGACAAAGAAAGTGAAGACTTTATAAATGATAGCTACGATGATTATGATGAATCTGACGCTAATAAAAGGAGGTGGGGAGGAGAGCATCCCCTTCACCTGACACTAATAAAAGAAGGAGAAGGAGAGCATCCCCACCTCTAATTAAAGATTTTAACCTTCATATCAAAAAAAAGAATTAACTATAATTATGGTTCTTCGTCCAAAAGGCGTCGTAAAAACAATTCTGTAAGTGATTTATCTAAATTTGCACATACTTATTCAACATAAAGTACTAATTGTATTTATAGGTTTACAAATACCTTCACCAACATCACCACTACCAATATCACCGCCAAAATCTTATTCTTCACTATCTCCTTCGCCTATAAGAAGAGTATGTTTAGAATGTTCACTCTATTGTAAAGGAAAAGAAGTCGCTTTCTAACTTATATAGTCTGTAAACAAATATTTATCTCTTTAATTATATGTATTTTTCTTACTCTCTAGCTACAAACTATTTTATATCATAATAAAGTTTCGCTTTAATCTAATTTGCAACTATATGGGTGAGATATTGCTTATATTCACCAAAATTTTATTACGTAATTTAATAATTTCTTTGAGATATTTAAACTACAATTTTGCTTTAAAATAAAGATTATATATAAAATTACATCAGATATATCTTTACAATTTGTTAATTAATTTAAAATAAATTTTTATTTAATCTTATCTTATTAGTGAATATAAAATATTTTTAATCCATTAATTTTAATCAAATCAGTTCATGTTAAATTAATTTTTAAATAATATAATTATTTAATACTAATATTTTTTTATATAAAGTATAATTAGATCCTCGAAGATCGATCCAAGATTGGATGGATCGGATCCCTGATTGCCTTATTGATCCACAATAGAATCCACAAATATAAATTTTAGTCTCGACAAAAACTTTTGATATGATGGCTTCCCATTCAGGATCAAAAAATGGAATCAACTCAAGGTTATCATCTGACGCCGATGAAATTTGTCCGATATGTAAGAATAATAGATACCTTACACCTAATATGAAACTACTTGTTAGCGACTGTTATCATAAAATGTACGTATGCAACCGAAGGATCCCAACAATAAAAACAACCATTCCTTACCTAAATTGATAAATCAAATAAATAATAGGTGTGAATCATGTATAGATAGATTATTCGCCAACGGAGCGGGACCATGTCCGATTTGTCAAAGAATTTTGAGAAAAGTTAGTTTTATAGAACCCACCTTTGAAGATTTACGTGTAGAAAAAGAAGTAAAGATTAGAAGGAATTTATCAAAGCAGTAGGAAAATTTTCATTTGTTTTTTATTTCTTTTCCTTTTTTTCCAAGGTATTTTTTTTTTTTTTTTTAAAAAAAAAAAATGAATATTCTTATTAGGTTTAATAAACGACAAGAAGATTTTCAGAATTTACGTTTATACAATGATTACTTGGAAATGGTTGAAGAGATCGGTTTGTGAGGAATTTCGATGTTCAAAATGTCTTTTTTTACGTGATTTAATTAACATGACATTATATTTGTTAGCGTGGAATCTTATCAATGAAGTGAACAAAAAAGAAACCGAAGCTTTGATTGACAAATTTGCTAATGAAAATAAAGAAATAATAGCTCATAATAAACGAAAACAAGATGAAGAAACCAAAATGGTAAATTATCTTAATGAAAAGGAGAAATCAGAAAAGCGTTTGAAATTTGAAAATTACAAAAAAGAATTGGATGAAGAGAAAAAAAGAAGGGAGAAACATGAAGCCGAATTAATCGAAGAACTGGTAATATACATCCCTTGTAGTAAAGGTTCATTCTCATGGAAATTAATTAATCAAAGTTATATCTTATCGTTTAGGCTAATTCAAAAGGTTCTGCGGCCGATATTCTAGCAGAAAAGAAGGCCATGAGAGAAAGTTCCCGTAGTCAAGAACTTAGTAATTCACAAATTTATCCTTCACCAAGAGATAATCATCTTGGTTCATGGTATAATAATAATATAGAACCAGTAGAAGATACATCAGAATTTGATCCAATTTCCTCCGAATATTTGGACATTGATTGTTATACACTCAAAGACAAATATTATGATCCGTATCCTTTCTTTTCTTTTACACGAGATTCATCTTTAATAGAGATCATTCCTTAACATTTTTTTTAAAAAAAAAAGGTATACGGAAATCAATACTCGACTACGTGCTGGTGGATTTGTTCCAAAATTTGTACATGAAAGAGCTTTACAAGCTGCATTTTCTGGACTTTTTACATTTACCAAATCCGATGACATGGAAGTTGAATAAATAATTTTTAACAAAAGGAAAAATGAAAAAAAAAAAATAAAAATTGAAAAAAATAAATAAAAAATAAAAAATAAAAAATTTTAAAAATTAAAATTGGGTAATCAACACATTTATTCATTTCATATAAAATACATTATTGTCAATAAATAAACAATAAATCAAATTAAATTAAAATTAAAATATATATCATTAAATTTTGCTGATCTCTACTTATTAGAATTTTCCAACATCTCTTTGATCACAAATTTATTAAAATCGATAGGATTGTCAAGATAAAGATGATGACCAGCTTTTGGTACTATCTCAATTTTAACGGGCACTTTCATTGAATTTTTGGCTTTCTCGGCGGCACGATAATCCATCCAATCATTTTCACCATACAAAAATGTGGTGGGCATTTTTATTTCATGCAACCTATCAATTAATGGTTTACGAGCAAAAGCACCGGGTTCAAGGATTCTTGTAATAGCAAATTCTCCGCTACCCGCGGCGGTGGAAATGTTATAAAGATAATCATGCAAATCTAATTGATCGATTTCTTCAAGGTGAGAAAATTTATGAGAGGTATATTTCGTAACAAGGGACGGACCGAATGGTCCTAACCAACGCAATATTAGTTGTGGAGTGACATGAGCATTCCATAACTTTATGACCCATCCAGGAATTTGTCTTCCACCATCCTTAAGGTATCCCGGTTCATTTTGTGGATTTCTTGGCACCCCAACTGGGGAAACCAATATCAGTTTTTCTACGTACATGGGGTATTTCATAGCGTAAACCGCTGCTAAATATCCTCCTAAACTGTGACCCAATAGGGTCATTTTATCAATTTTATGAACTTTTCTCCATTTTTCAAATGAATCGATAAAAAAATTTTCGGTCTCTTCAACATATTCATCAACGGTTTTCCCCTTTATAATGAATGGTGGTCGAGAACTTCTACCCATCCCCAACCAATCTATACTGTAAGTTCTCCACCCGGGTACTTGACTTATTCCATGATAATTCCTGTAAAAAAATCCAAGTCCCCCTCCAAATCCATGACACATCACCAAATTTTTAATTGAGGGATTTTTTTCCTCATTTACTGTCGTTGTATTTGATTGGACCTTCAAATCCGTTTGCGGCATGTCAGTAAATCCAAGCTGCTCATAATTTAAGGTTTCGTCTGAATCGTCGGTATCTGAATTTGTTTTGGTAGAAGAGGAAGAGAGGGATGATAATAAGGAGGAAGAGGAACCATCCTTGTCAACGTCGAAGTCGTTTCCTTTTTGATCTATGACCAATGTATTGATCTTTCTCATCCCATCACCATCCAAGTCCACCAATCCCACTCTTGCTGTTGTTTTTGAATTTTCTGGTGAACCTACTGTTTTACCATCTATCTTAAAGTACGCCAACCTTGATAACAATCTCGCTTCTGATGCTTCTAATGTTTGTTCTGAACGTGAATACCAATGCCTCAACGATGCAAATCTAACATTTGGCGATCTTGATTTGTAAAAGAAAAAACGAAAGAAGACGATAAAACATTAATATGCGAAATGAATATTTTAAAAAAAAAACAAAAAAAAAAAAAAAGAGGATCGATTGATAACTAACGGTGCTGGTGGAATAACGACCTGTGCCGTTGATAATAAAGTAGATGAACTACTATCGGCCATCTTGATTAATCGAAGTAAAATGATTGAAGTAATGAAGAAAAAAAGAAATCAATCACAATTCGAATTTTTATTTATTTTATTTTTTTTTTTAAAAAAAAAAAAAACGGAAAAAGAAATGGAAAATAAGAACTTTTTAGATTTTTTTTTTTTTTTTTTTTTTTAAAAAAAAAAAGGAAGATCAGAAATTTGTGAGGGGAAATGAAATTTTTAAACAGCCGAATTTATATAATTTTTTTTGAAATATATATCAGGTTAAAATGATTTGCATAGTTGCATTATTGTGGAATGACATAATCATTCTTTTAATTACTTTAATTAATAATCCAAAAACAACCATAAATAAAAATTCGATTTACAATAATGGCTAAATTTTTCGCCGATACTTTCAAAAATTAATTGCCGATGCCGATATGGTTAGTTCCCTTAGTTAACAAATAAGGATATTCCAAAGAGAGATCCCCGAACCTCTTCAAAAAAAAAAAAATGAAACACAAATTATACTAATTGTGATACATACTGATCCACAATAACCCTAAATAGAAGATGCTTTCTAGAATTAGTAATTTACTTTGAAGTAATTCAAAATTTTTTTGATAAAAAAAAAACCACCTTTTTGTGATCTTTAATAATGACAGAGGAAACTAAAGTTCGGGTTAAAATCTATGGTTCAAGTGTAGCAGGAAATATCTTTGTACGTAAATTTTAATTTATGATTCTAATACCTTCATAATCACCCTTCCCTGATCATTATTATTTTATTTTAGGTAAAGTCAAACCAGTTATGGCTTGAACAAGTACTTAAACAAAATAAAATTGGTTTTGAATTTGTTGATGTAGCAGCTGATGAAGACGGATTAAAATATATGAGAAGAAAAAATGGAGGCGAGAAAGATTTGCCACAAATTTTTGTTGACGGTGAATTCAAAGGAGTAAGTTTTTCCCTTTAAATCGAATGAAATAATCTTTTAACGCAAAAACTGATTAAAATTTTACTGTTGAAAATGATTAGGTTTTTAAAGATTTTCAAGAAGCTGTGGAACACAAGGAAGTAACAAAATTTTTAGGTTTACAAAAATGATTAGGTTAATAATTCAAGTTTAGAAATATTAATTTATTAATTTTATTAATTGGAAATAATTAATTTTTATTAAATTATGGTTCTTTAAAATAAATAAATAAAAGAGACTTATAAAGAATATGAATTAGTAATATTGACCGGCTAATATGTCCCTAGAGAAGGGTTGTTTGGTAATCTTTTTATTACCAGGACCGAATAAAGGTAAAGGTGGTTCATATTTCGTAAATTCTTGTAATACCCTACCACCAGGAATTAAAGCTTGTAAATCGGCTTTTGTTGGAACCTCTTCATATGCCACCTTTAAAGAAAAATCATGAAATACAACTCGTATAAGCGATTAAACTTTTTTTTTTTTAAAATAAAATAAAATAAAATAAACTTACTGTATTATTGTAATTAACATAACTCGTGTGCAGATTTTTAACTTCTTCATATTCTTGAGTAGCATGTAAAGCAATGGTTATCAATTTTGATCTTGTTAAAAGATGAAAAGCATCTTTTGCTTCTGTAATGAATCCTACGGCTTTTCCACATTGCCTATAATGTTTTATTAATATATATAGCAAAAAAATTTTTTACAATAATTCGTGTAATAACGTGGACTTACTGATGTACATAAGCATCTTGAGCAAGAAATTTCTTTCCTAATGCCTACAAGAAAAAAATATATTTAATTTCAAACTAGATTAAAAACTCCCAGTGATAATATAAGAACCGCTTCTGAATTTTTATCACTAACCACCCCAAAGATGTAACTTACTTGATGAAATAAAGTACCGTGGGAAACATATTTTCTAAAATCGCTACAGACTTTTGAAGGATCTTTCAAACTTTTTATTAATCCATTCGCCATTTCATAGTGTCCTGATACTCCAAACGCCAGTTTTGCAAGCAACGAAGAAGAGGTTTGTTGCATTAATGCTTTACGTATTGCAATTGAATTTGCATCAGCAAGTGCGATCCTATTTTTTAAAAGTGTTTTTTTTTGTTTTGAGCACTTTGCAGATTAAAGTTTCAGTAAATGAATAGATATATATAAAATTTACTTTGACATGGATGTGGGTATTTCCATTACCACATCATATGGTTTTGACACTGACTCACTATCCCATTTGGGACAAACTTCTTCTCCAATATATGCAAATATTCCTCCTGCTTTACGTAATAGATCTGCTGCCTAAAGTTCAAGAAAATTTTAAAGACCTGATGAGAAGAAAAATTAAGAAAGTCGAAATTTAATGTAATGATCACCTGTCTTAATCTTAAATCATTTTTATCATTTTGTCCTTGTCTTTCTATAATACTAGTAGCCCAATCAGCATAAGCATATCCATAAGTTAATAATACAAAAATTAATTCATAATAGATTCCTTTGCATAATACACGGGGTTTCTTTTTCAATACTGAATCACTTAATGTACAACTCCACGAAGTCTCTAATCAAAAAAAAAAAAAAAAAAAAATTTATAAATTTCAAATACTCGATATTTCATTATCTGAAAGGAAGAAAAGGGATTTATTACATACCTATCTCCTTTTTTAATTTCAGTTGACCACCTTCAAGGCAATCGATTATACCGAATAAATATGGTAAATAATCATCAATAGTCTTTCAATATTCCAAATTAACGTAAAAAAAAAAAAAAAAAAAAAAAAAAAAAAAAATTTCGAATAATCATAAATACATTTAAAATAAAAATGGAAAGTTTTGAATATATATTTACCTTCAAAATTTTAGTATAGTCTTTAGGTCCGTTTTTTTTTGCTTCTTTAAGAGTAGCTCTAACCACACCTCTTTGTGCTGTTGCTTCAGATATTCTACTTAGATATAAATTATCTTCATCTAAAAGAAAATCCGACCAAGATATTGTACTTGTTGTTGGTAATGGATAAATAAAACTCATTTTATCTTTTTTATTTCTTTTTTGTTTTAGTTTTCAATCACACAAGAAAAGGTTGATTCTCAAAAATGTCCAAAAAATTTTAAAAAATATTCATATGCATACGTTATTGATCAACAGCATTGCATAAATTATGAACGACTTAGGTAAGCAGTTTAAATTTCACTGCTCCAACTAAAAAGTTGCTCGTCATGAAAATTTATCGTCGGAATTCTTTGCTTCTTTTATTTATGGATTGTAACCTTTAAAAAAACTTGGCATAATTTTTTTCCCCAAACATTACTTATATGTGAAACTTCTTGGTGATTTAATAAATTTTAAGCTTGAACAAGCCAAGCCTGATCGATAACACGGATGATAAACCTGTGCCGATTTTTTTCGAAAGATACTATTTACAAAGACCGTCGTGTAACCAACCTTCCAAAGGTATTAATCATGTGATTGATCCGACCAAATTAAACGATAAATTTATGATACGGCAAGCAAAAGAAATACAACTTCATTTATCACCAATACCAGCGTCTTTCATAGGAATACGTACAACAACAGGCATTTGAGGCTCTGGAACGTTAATAGCTTCGGATGAATCGGAATTAAAATCATTATTATTATTCGTCGTATTTGAAATGGTTTGTTCGGTCACGCCTGAACCTTTCCCTTTCATTTGAGTTTCTTGTAATAAAAAAAAGGGTATATTTCACGTAAAAGATTCAAAACGATGAAACTTGAAAGAATTGAATTGAATTGAAAATATACCTGGTAATAATACTGATCTAAAAACGGTTTGCCAATTACGAAGTACCGTAGCAACAGCTAAAATCAAAACGGAATTTGTGATAAATGATTCACGAACCGAGCAATCGTTTAATCATTTCCCCCCAAAAATTAAATTACCTTCACAACCATTACTTAATTCTTCAATATTATTGGCCAATTGATCAAAATAATTTGATAAATTTTGAGAAGTTTTCTTAAGGATTAATAAATTATCAAATTCTTGTTGTTTTTCCTGAAGTTTTTGGGTAAGTAAAACCTGTTTCGCCGTTGGTATATTAATGGGTATTTGTTGTTGTCGTTGAGTTTGTGATTGCGGTTGCGGTTGCGTTTGTGATTGCGGTTGAGGTAGCGGTTGCCTTTGTTGCTGTTGTTTTTGTTGCAGCTGCCTTTGTTGTTGCTGTTGTTGCTGTTGTTGCCTTTGGTGAGTTTGTGGTGGCTCTTGCTGGTAAAGCTGGTGAAGTTGTAAAGGAGGAAGATATTTAACCGTTGTTTCCGTGTTTGGTGTTGCTTGTTGTTGTAGTTGTTGGACGAATCGATTCCTAGGAGCAGTGTGTTGCGAGACATAAAAAGGATTTTGATTATTGGCTGTCATTGTCAGGCAAAGCTATTGACGTGAAATGAAAAAATAATTGGAAAGTAATAACAAAATGACGCGCTTTAAAAAAAAAATTTTTTTGACCGAATTACTAAATTTGATAATTCCGGGCGGATAATTTCATTAAAAATTTCCCGATTAAATAAATATCCGGTTATCTTTATTTGTTTATGAAAAGATATGATAATACATAAGGGTTTTTTTTTTTTTTCAAAAAACAACAAACATCTTTTTAGTCGGTTAAAATTTTTCTTTGTGAAAAGAATGTTCCGGGATTCCACAAGAAGAAATGAAAGATAACGTAAAACGCATATCGCAAGATTAATCGATATTTATTCGCCCTTAACGACATTCTCCCATAACAAACAATACCAAAAAATGCACCATATAGGATCTAAGACAAAATCGTACAAAAAGGAAATAACAATAACAATAATGATAATAATGAATGATAAAGATGAGTATTAAATATTTTTTTCCTTTATTTTTAGTAATGTATAAAGTCCCTTTTGTTGTTCGGTTATTTGTTGAATGATTTTGTTGAGCGAATTTAGAAAGCAAAGTTGTGGATGGACAATCAAAAATTGTTGTGGCATACGGATATCGGATTTAATCAAAAGGTTTCAAAATTGGAAAATTTTGCCACATCAGTCATGTGACTTTTGCACCAATTAATAGTACCTTGAGTACCCAGGGAAACTATTGACTCGAAGCTTCTATTTATAAATTCAGGTTTTCGATCTGGTTAGGTACATTGTTAGTTGTAGTACTCCCATTTTCTTTATATTGCGTGATAATTATTTGTTAAACTTTAATATGATAAAAAAATAAAAGGTCCAACAAATGTTAACCATTTCCTTTTAATCATAAAACTTGAAACAAAACCGGAGTACGCACAAAGAAAAACAAAAAAGTATTAATCATAAGATTTCGCGAATTTAATGGAGAAGGGAAAAAAAAAATAGGTAAACGCCATTAAAAACATAGTAATCAATTTCTATAAGATGTATATGATTTGAAGTTAATGTAACATCTAAGGTACTCCTATCGTCCGTCATCTTGACCCAATTATTCAATTGGAAATTCTTGTTATTATTTATATTGGATTTGGGAAAGGTAATAAGGTAATGTATGTAATGTCATGTGAATACATTAAATATGCATTGAACTGTAAATGTTAAAAAACGTGGGATTTAATTTATATTTATGATGCTCTTTTATTCCATTGTAAACATCAAAGTTATTATTACGGAAAAAAGGCTTTTTTTTCTTAAAAAAAAAAAAAAAAAAAGAAAAAGGAAGGAAATCTAATCAAGTTTTCATTGAAAAAAAATATTAAACCTTTTTTTAATGTGAGAAATGTGAGAGATATTTAAGATAACTGGAATATGAGGGAAAAAAAAAAAAAAAATATTTTTTCCACTGAAATAATTATTAACATCATCAAATTTACATGACATAATGAAAATATATATAATACATCTTAATACTTTTTTTTTTGATTCCCCAACACCCCAACAATAAAAATAAACGAGTGAATCTTCTTGATTTGTGTGCCGCAGCACACATAATTTTCTGTTGTCACAAATGAAATTTTAATTTTAAAATAATATAATTCCCACCCCAAAAAAAAATTTCAATTATTTTTTGCATGGCATTAATTATCTCCTCAAATCAGTTAAAGTATAATTTCAAAAGGTAAAGAAAGTGATGCAAAGTCAAAGCGAACCTACTTGAATAAAATTATCAATGATTAGATTATAATACATTAAATATGTTATTATATAATACATCTGTATAGTAAAAAAGAAGGGACACCTTATGATCGTATCGTAAGTACATTTGGCGTTATGCATTCATTAAGGAAACTAACTCTCTTGACTTGGACAGGTCATTTTACAATAAAAAAAAAAAAAAGAATTATGTTAGGCTGGCAAACCATATAATTTTTCTTGTTTAGGAAAACATTCGTTTCAATTTCTTTTACACTTACCTCCTATCTTTTGGTTTTACCAAACTGCGAATCTTTTTTTTACTGAAAGATTTATAATAAAGATGTGATATAATTATTATTTCAACTGATACAGTTGTCCCACTTTGATTCTTTAGGTAGAATTCAATGAAGAATCGGGAAAACGTTGTAAAACTTTCAAATAAGTGATCAGTCAATTAGAAAAAGAATTGATGACAAGATAAACGTTTGTGTGTATCTTTAAAGAAAAAAAGAACAGAAAATAAAAAAAAAAAAAAATATCAACCCTGGTTTGACCTAAAATAACTTTCTATTTTCGGATTGTAAAGTAAAGATATTTGAATTCAAGACATGTGTCCAAATTTGTATTCAAAGTTACCCAAGTTACTCAATGTTTTGGTACATCATTGAATTTATTTCATATTAAACGTATTGCGGTAAATAATTTTACACCGGATCCTTCGGGATGTAGAAAATTTTTTTATATTAGGTAAAACAAAACTTAAAGGATGCTGTGCTTCGTTTGGCAATAAACACTAAAACCCCGCCCCATCAAAATAAAAAATCTCATACTAATTAAAGTTTAATACATTTTTATATAAGTCTACTTTAACCCCGTAAATTAAAAATATTGTGTATATATTATTGTTGTACCTTCTTATCAGTATTATAAAAAGGCTTGGAAAACGTCGTCGGTGGAATTTCCCCCACCTCCTCGACTTTCGATTTTTTTTTTAAATTTTATATATTACTGTTACCTTTTCATACCTCACAAATTTTTCATTGTACATAAACCGATTAATTATTCTTCCCTTTTTTGTATTAATATTTAAAAGGATAATTTTTATTTTTCGTGTTCTTAAACAGAAGATTTAATTTCCTTGGACCTTTTGTAAATAGAAATTCGCAAAGTTCTTGTTATTTCTCTCGTTCTTCAAACAAACACCTGACAGAAAAAAAAAAATAAAAAAGAGAATATATACAGGTTTATATATTATCAAAAAAAAAAAAAAAAAATTTTTTGAAATCTTTTTATTGTAAAAACGATAAATTTATTATAAATGGCCACTTCCTTTGGAACTCTCGTTCAAGACTATGTCAATACCGTTACTTCTCGACAGTCAAATAATGAACCACAAGTCTCTGCCTCTCGGTTAGAACCTTCGTCATCGTCGTCCGTTAATAATGACCTTAATTCACGACGACCTGCGCTGGTTCAATCATATTCGAACCGAAGCTTTTTCCGAAGAGCCTGGGATACGGTTGAAAGTAGGTTTTATTTTTTAATGAACGTTATACGATCTATCGATCGCACGTGACGCAATATTAACGTTTTGTCTCGCACCTTCCAAAATAGGCATTTTCATTCAAAAGAATGATGTGAATTTACCCGTATATTACAACAATTACGAAAGAGAAGAGAATGAAGATGACGATACAGCAAATGAATTCATTCATCCAAATCCATATCATCAGCCACTTGCTCGTGCTGACGCGTTTAGGGCGCCCGTACATAAACGAAGGTTATCTGCACACTCGGACGAATTAATCTCCGGTGAGCTACCTTAACGATACCTATTTCGTAAATTTTTTTCACGCTTAGGTTCACCGTTACTAACCTTTTTGAAATTATCTTTAGTTATGCCAGATTATAATTCAAGGTCATCATCTGAATGGCCTGTCCGGCAAACATATGAAGATTGGCAACGTGATCAAGGTGAGCTTGACATTGAAGAAGCAAATATTAAAGATTTGATTTCTGGTTGGGCTATGGGTGAGGGTCGCCCGTGGTTCGATTAAATTTTTATCTTTTGGAAGAATTGAATTGGTGAGTTTCTTTGTTTTACAAGCCTAGTATCATGACTTTTCACTTTTTCAATGATTTTATCTAAGATCAAATTTTATTCTTTAGGTTGATTCCGACCGAATTGTAGAAATTGTATTATTTACGGCCTAAATCAATTCGTTATTCTATCACGAGCATAATAAACGTTTAATAATGTAGTAATATATCGTATATATGGCTCTCTGTAATTACTTTTTTTTTTTTTGCATCGGACATTGATATCTTACATTTTTACATTATATTATATTATATTATTTATATACCATTTTTCCCTCCCCATTAACAAATAATTAATTTCGCATTTTTCTTCAAATTTTTTTTTATTTTTTCATATTTATATATATATATGATATAAGCACACACATATATATATATATCAATTTTTGGTGTTCGGATGAAGGTTGGAGGATGGATAGAATATGTATATTTTTTTTCTTTAATAATAATTATTTTGTATCATTTTTTTTCTTTTCCCTTTTTTTTTGCCCTATATTTAGACATAAAACTTTGTAAAGATTTCCATATATATATATATATATATATTATAAAAATCCTTTTTCACATTATTATATATATGTTAGTATCCTATTAATTGAATTTAAGAAATTAACAAGGGAAAGATGCGCCTTAAAATGATATAATGACGCGTAAATTATGTTTTCAATGAATCTTTACGCATCGTTATTATTTTTAAAGTCCAAATCAATTTTTATTAAGTGTCAAAAGTTCTCTTTCACACGCGTTTAAAAGATTGATACGGATAAATTATTCTTTTAAAGAAAAAATTTACATGATTACTCGAACGCGACTAATGAGTTTTATTATTATTATTATTATTTTATCGTTTTTTTTTTTTTTTTATTTCTTTTTCATTTTTATTTCTTTTCATGTTTTTTTCTTTTCATTTTATTTTTCTTCATTCATTTTTCATTTTTTTTTCTCTCTCATTTTTTTTTCCTTACTACAACAAAAAACAAAAAAAAAAAAAAAAAAAAAAAATTACAAAAAAATTCATTTCATCATCCCTTCCTCATATAGCAAAAAAAAAAAACCAAGTCTATATAGTTGATTTTCATATTCACATTATTTTTTTTTTTTGTCTATTAGTTCTCAATTTTTTTTTTTTTTTGGTCAAAAATTGAAATCTTAACGGTCCCCATGATTGTAAATAAATAATATTTTTTTTTTTTTAGTTCAATGATTGTACGATTATTTTTATTTCAATATGCAAAAAAGATATTTCGCTTACGTTATTTCAAAAAATAAATAAAATTAAACACCATTAATTATCCATCATTTATTTCTCTTTTCGCACAGTTCCGAAATCAGATACAAAAAAAAAAAAAGAGAATAATCTTGATTCCTCATCTAACGAAGCACAAGCTAGCATTTGTTCCACCAAATCCAAAAGAATTGGTTAAAGCAGCCCTTATACCATTTCCATCAACCTTTTGAGATTTTAATGGGACATAATTAAAATCGTTGAACTCTGATGGATCACCCGATGAATGTAAATTTAATGTTGGCGGAAGAATATTCTGATTGGGTATTTTTGAAATAAAAGATGGCGATAAATGCGAATGGGGAATGGGGTAGATAAGAATAAAAAAAAAACCCTGGTTAGTATATGTGATTTTTAGTAAACAAAGGTATAAATTTTCACGCGATTATTTTCCATAATCACGTTCTTAAAATGAAATCAAACTTAGTTTCCAAATTCCTCCAATAAGATTCCTTCGAGATAAAAAAAAAAGGGGGGGATATTTTAAATAATAAAGTTCAGAAATTTTTTTTTTTTTTTAAAAAAAAAAAAAATCTCTCTAATTTAAAATTCTGAAATTCCGAGAAAAAATGGTTTCTGAAACAGAAAATAATGAAAATCTTGTACAAATTAAGAATCAGAATTGAGTTGCAAAAAAAAAATTGATTATCATCACACCACCAGTACAAAGAAAATCTTTCTTATTGAAATTACTATCATCATTTATCTTCGCAAGCTAACCTTAGATTTTGAGGTATCATTCCACATTTGTTAAACCACGCCAAACATTGACAAAATTCACACACAAAATGTGTCACTGCCACTATCATTTAAATTCATTCTTCAACATTCTTGATTAGCAAACAATATATTTTTTAACCTCACATTGCACACATATTATCTCACTTCCTGTCGTGTTCCAAAACTCTTATTATCCTTAAACCATTTTCCCTAATATTATTTGAACTTAATATCTTTTCCAATTTCGATTTTCATGATTGTCCAAAAAAAAAAAAAAAAAACGTGGCACAAACTTACATTATAGATCGCCAAAATTGTAAAGATCGCTTCAACTGCCCCGGCAGCTCCTAATAAATGTCCAATCGATCCCTTAGTTGAAGATATTGCTAATTTCTTATTATCCCGAAATATTGATTTTATAGCTCGATTCTCGGCAATGTCACCTTGATTATTCAAGTTAAAAACGTCTTATTTTTAGAATTCGAATACTATATTTAGAAATAATAGTTTTTTAAGGGATACCTAGTATAGTTGAAGTTGCATGTGCATTGATATAATCAATATCTTCTGGCGTTAATTTAGCATGATATAATGCTCTACGCATTGCTAATTCGGCGCCAATACCATCCCCAGGAGGGGCCGTAATATGATGAGCATCCCCTTATTACAATATATAATATAATTTTAAGTTGACGGAACTTAATAAATCGTAAAGAATTGTTGATATAAAAAGGATGAGATGGGGTACCGGATAAACCATATCCACGCAGTTCGGCATAAATCTTTGCTCCTCGATTAATTGCGTGATTATATTCTTCGAGTACCACCATTCCGGCTCCCTCTCCTATAACAAATCCATCCCGATCTGTATCAAACGGCCTTGACGCATGTTCGGGTCGATCATTATACTTGGTTACCAAAGACTTTGCTCTAACATAAATAAATTGTTTTATATATATATAATGTAAATATAACATTTTCGTAAAAATAGATTTCATCCCTTATTAATCAATCCTCTCCCCCAAGAATTAATTACGCACTTTGCAAATCCTGCTATGGCTAAAGGCAATACACATGCTTCAGATCCTCCTGCTACCATAACATCCGCATCTCCAAATTGTATAAATCGACTTGCATCTCCAATCGAGTGAGCTCCTGTTGTACATGCCGTTGACGCTGCATGATTTGGACCCTTGAAATTTTAATACCCCGGATTAATAGATCCATTTGATCTCCCCGAAAAACCTCTTAAAAAACTTACACGAAATCCATATTTCATGGTTAAATGCCCTGCTGCCATGTTTATCAGGATCTTTGGTACAAACATAGGACTAACTTTTCTCGGTCCCTTTTCAAAGAAGGAAAGGAAGGTATATTTAATAATAATATCTCTCTCCATCATAACAATGAAAGGAAAAATCTGTTATGATTTACGTAAGCGTTATACGTCATGGTGGTCGATATAACATCTTCAAGACTACCAATTCCTGATCCTATACAAACTCCCTTTAAATTTAATAAATAAATTAAAAATATTTGTAACCAAAAAAAGTATGTAAAACCATTTGTACGTACTGTTCGATTTCTCTCAGGAACAGACGTCGGTTTCCATTCTGCATCATTTAATGCTTGCTTTGCTGCACAAATGGCATATTGTGAAAATAATGCCATTCTACTTTCATCCTAATAAATAAAGAACTAGTATCAAACAATAATACTTTCAGAATATGAAGGAATGAATCTTCGCCTTTTTTTTTTTTTTTTTTTTTTTTAAAAAAAAAAATAAAGATTTAAAAAAATTTAAATAAATACAGATCAGTCAATTTAAATTTTTATTTATTTATTATAACTGAAAAATTTCCTGATAATTACCCCACGATCCAGCCACTCTTTTGAATCAAACCCACCGTTCTCATATTTACCAGGTTTAACAACACCAGCTATAGTTGAAGGTAGCTCATTAAACACCCCTTTTTCTTTTTCGTAATATGGTAAGATCATTAAATTATTTTCATCAATTCGTGTTTGTTGATTTGATTTTAAAGATATTATTCCACTTTCACCATTTATTAATTTTTTCCAAGAAAGTTTCACTCCAGTCGCTAATGGTGTCACTAAACCTAACCCTGTTACCACTACTTTACGTGTAGACATTGCTTCGTTATCTGCCGGCTGTTTGTTAAATATATAAAATGAAAAAATCTCTGATGGAAAGGTTTTTTTGGATCTAATCCAACGATCGACACCTATGAGATCCGTCAATTATATTTAGTAATTGAACGCGTGTTTTAAACAAGATTTAACAATGGTTTCCTAATTAGTCCGGAACGAAGTGAAGGACTATATATGTCAATAATTGACAAAAATCTCGATAAAGCAAATACTAACGTGAATTTTTTTTAGTTAAGATCGCTTCGGACTTAACCAAGTTATCATGAAAAAAAAAAACTTTAGTAAATAAATTAGATTAGGAATTAGATTTATAATTTTGCCAAATATATAGTTCCAAACCTCTATTGAAGAGGATTTAGGTTGAAAGTAATTTTTATAAAAGAAAATGTGATTATTTAATTGGATATAAAAGACTATTTCTTTTATATTTATTATTCGTTTTAGGAACAAGCCTTAACATTCCTTATACTTTATTCCATAAGATTATAACCATTGCTTCGATTCCGAATTAAATAAAATCAAATTTTTTTTTAAATTGAATTTTGATTGGTCACCAAAAAGATTTAACAATTAACATAACATAAACTTTTCCGTTGATAAAAACATTTTCTAATATTTCTCAACTAGGTTTTCACCTCACATAACATATAAACATCGGAAACATCATTGCTCTACTATTTTCGTAAAAAGCATCCAAGTAACTAAAATGATAGGGTCTTAGTTTTCATCATGGCACAAGTTATTACCTACTATTCGATAAAACATATTCGTATTTTTGACACGTGATGTACTAAAAATTAAACCACGTCGGAATAGCAATTTTACGTTAAAAATTTCAATTCGATATGGGAAAAAAATCAATTTTTACTTTTATATGTTAAATATGATTTTTAAGACAAATCATTGTTAATTTTTCTTTTCTATTGCAAAGGTCCCATATTATATTTGTTTTAAATTTTCCAACGATAAATCGAATTCTTCCGTTAGCAGAAATCAAATTTTTGCAAAGGGCAGTAAGATCGCTCCGACGGTCCCCATTCCCTAGTGCTAACTTTGAACATATTTTGGTCCAAAAATCATATTTGACATATAAAAGTAAAATTGATTTTTTCTATTGCAAAAGTCCCATATGATTTCTGAAGCGAATTTCCCATCGTTAGCGTAGCTTTCCAAATAGATTATTTTCTAAAGAACAAATGAATGTAAAAGACTAGGACAAAACGTTGGTTATGATGACAAAGAATTCGATATCGTTGAGGAAGAGAAGGGCGAATTTTTTTCTTTATTGTTAAACAACATAATTTCATACTCTAAGGTGGGAATTATTGGATTTGGAACTCCAAAAGTAATGTTAAGTTGCATCTTGCCGATCGGCCAAACGGGAAACTTGGCCGCGTAATAAAATTTCGAATCCCGATTTAAAAAAATCTTCCCCTCAAAAATGTATTTAAAATTATGTTTGCCACGGTCAAATTTTATCACTGTAAAAAATTCTTTAACAAATGTTAAGCCCTTTTGCTTCTCAGAATGTATTAAAGTGGTGAGTTGATAAAAAGAAACTGTTGGTAAATTTGACCTTACATAAGTGTTTTATACATTTTTTCCTTAGTCATGTCCACATGTAAGAGAATATGCTTCCAAATCCAAGAAAAGGAAAAAGGAAAAGATCATGACTGCAATAGCCATTCCCTTGGTTGATGCAGTTAATGTACTCAAGGTATAACAATAAATTTTGATATGTTTTTAATTTAAATATATTTCTTTATTAAAAGTTCTTGTTCTCTAAAATTATAATAATTAGGCGCATGAAATAACTTATCCGAATAGGACTTTAGAATTACACGTAAAAACTAAATTAGAAAAGGGAAAGGCGCCAATAAGAGGCTCTATATCTTTGCCAAAATCAATAGCTAAAAAAGTTTCATGGATGGTTTTCGCAAAGGTAAATTAACTTTGTTCATAATCGTTTATCTGTTAGAACATTTCCTCTGAAAAAAAAAATTTTTTTTTTTTTTTAATTATAGGGTGCGAAAGCGGAAGAAGCCAAGGCTGCTGGAGCACATGTAGTTGGTGGCGAAGAATTAATCGCGGAGGTATCTTATTAATATTTTCAAAAAAAAAAAAAATTTTTTCTTTCAAGGAATTCGGATGATTTGTTAATTCAAAAATTAATATAAATGATAGATTACGGAAGGAACTTTCAATATTGGAAATATTGATAAATGTTTATCAACGCCAGAATTATATACATCGGTAACAAAAATTGCAAGAATTTTAGGACCAAAGATGTTAATGCCTATGGCAAAAAGAGGTACAGTTACCGATGATATTGCCGGTACTATACAAAGGATGGACGATAAACATAGTTTTAATAGTGATAAACTTGGTTGGGTTCATACTGGTAAGCTGAGACTCAACTTGGTTAAGGTTCTTCTTTAATATATGATTAATTTACTTTTTTTTTTTTTTACAGGAATTGGAAAGGTTTCTTGGTCGACTAAAGAAATACAAGGTTAGTATTTTTATCCGCTTAATGATATATATAAATATGTTTCAAGGCCAAAATCTCATTTATTGCAAATACAGATAATATTCAAGTTATCTTGAGGGAGATAGATAAAATTGGTAAAGATCAAGGTATTAAGAGTAGTAAAAAAGGTATGAAGTGATTATTTTTAATAATATATATATATTTTTTTTTTTTGCTCAAAATTTTCAAATCGTTAAATTCTAAATTTTTTTTTTAGCTGGATTTATTGAAAAGATTGCAATAAATCCAAATATGGGACAATCTATACATTTACTTGATTTTAAAGATCTTTTGGAGACTCCTTCATTTATAAGGTGAAATGTGTATTGAAAACATTTATTTACAGACAAGATTTGGGATAAATATTATTTATTAACATGTAAAATCAAACAAATCATTCTTAACCGTCAAGATAAAAATGTTTAAATCACTTTTGTAATAATAAAGGGTCCGAAGACTATGTACTAAACAAATAATAAATAAAAAATTTCTAGGCTATACATAATCGAGTAACATTTTCAGAGATATCATTACTATAATTACATATTTGTATCCTGTGTATATAATAAAAAATGCATATGACTTTGAATGTCTTTTGAAATCAAGAGGAAGTGGTTCTCAAATCGTTTTCGAACTCTTCAATATTTAATTTTGCCTCCTTATTATTAATATTTACATTATTTGTATTATCATAATTATCATAATCTTTGCCGCCTTCGGCATTTCCCCCTTTATTAATGATTTCAATATAATTTGATGGAAACATTCCCTGTTCACCATTTCTTAATCTGCCTCTCCACCATTGTGAAGGATTTCCCCATAAATCAGTTTTACTTAAAATGGCGATAATATCACCTTTAGCAAAACTTAATTCAACATTTGATTCACCTCTAAAATCATAAATAGCTCTACAAAAATCAAAGTTTTGTGGTTGAGAAGGATTTATTTGAGATACAGGGGCGGTAATAATTTCCGAATTATTACCAGCACCTTCAGGTGGTATACTACCATCAAATAATTGTTGTTCTTGATGCCTTCTTGAAATAACTTGAATAAACTTGTGCATTAAATATGGTACACCGAATACTGCGAGTATGAAAAATAATATAGGGCGACGAGAATATTTTGCACGTTCTTGATATTGTTGAAAATTACTCGGAGTTAATTCACCTGAATTAACTGGAGGTCTTTTTCCCGTAATCTTATACCATAAGTGTCGTATCCATCTAATTAAAGCGAATACGCTTAATACTTGTCCCAAGTAATTACGTAGATTCCCAAATTGTTCTACTACTCCGACCATTGCCATAAATGATGAATGTGTTGCAAAGAATGTAGATTCCAACATTTGTGAAAATCCACCAAATGCTCCTACTACGGATTCTATCATATGAAATCCTGCCGCAGTGTTCGCTTCCATCCTTTGTGTGAGTGACAACTCTTCAGGCACCCCCGGACCGCCCGGACCGCCCGGTCCACCCGGTCCACCCGGTCCCATCATATACCCAAACCGATTATATGGCGAACCGCCGTATGAACCATATGAACCATAAGATCCACCATATGATCCACCATATGAATTATAAGAATTATAGCCGCCGTATCGGTTATATGGAGAATATGTGGATGATCCGTAGCGACTATACGGTGTCCCATATCCTCCATATGATCCATAATTTGTATACGGACTACTATATCCTCCACTATTCGCTCCATAAACCCCACCTGTACCATATGAACCATAACCTTTTTACATTAAAAAATAAATTAGAATTAATTCAAAAGATCTATTCGAATGAAACAAAAAAAAGTCGTTAGATCATTTACTTCTATTCGCGAATCCAGAAGACTGTGTGGAAGGTCTTGCTGGAACAGCAGGAGGTATGTTAGAAGTTGTTGATGTACCAGCTAAATTTTGTTGTGTCGTCGTATTTATTAATGGTGATCCACTGTTTGTTGTAGTCCTCGTGGCCGTTCCAGTTCTCTCCCAAGGTTTCGGTGGAGAAGGCATTACAAATACAATTGAAATTTTTATGATAAATTACAAAAAAAAAAATTAATTTTAAGAATGTTTGACGCCAAAATTATGTGACGACAAAAAAAAAAACTCGCTGAAATTCACGGAAAATTTCGGAAAATTTCAAGCAATCGAATAATGCTTGGCGCAGTTTGCACATCTTTTATGATTGGTTAGATTAGTCTGCACGACATGTGTTATTCAACAACATCAACAACATCAACAACCAGATCGGCGGTTACATGGTTTACATGCAGTTGCTACCTTAACAAAATCAGCAGACTTCATCAAAAAAACTGAAGTGTTCTCTCAACGTAGGTTATTTATCGTTAATTTACTTTTTGAACACGCATAAATATTCAAAATGATGGAATATGAGGACGTTTTAACTAATCAGCCTGTTGTCATCGACAATGTATGTACTTTGTTTTGTTCACCCTTTCATACTTTATGCTCACAACGATTAATATCTTTTTTTATTTTTAGGGGTCAGGTGTCATTAAAGCCGGGTTTGCTGGTGATGACCAACCAAAATGTTTTTTTCCCTCTTAGTGAGTACTACACTCTATACACTTGTTCTATTTATTAAAGTCTACCCACTAATATTTTTTGGGATAAAAAAAAAATTAGCGTTGGACGACCTAAACACGTTCGTATCATGGCCGGTGCGGTTGAAGGTGATCTCTTTATTGGGCGTAAAGCTC